CCTCTTTCTGCGATAAGTCCGCTTCCGATTCCAGAATTCCAGAATTCTCTATGGTTTTTTAAGTATTTCTTTCCTTTGGAAATGCACAGCGGCCATAAGAAACACATAAGAAGAACAAAAATTACTTGAATAGCTTTTTAAAAAACAGAAAAATCCACCCCTCTGCCTGCTCTGTGCCGTCACTGAGTCCCCTGAACATTGCTAGGAAAACACTCTGAGTCACACCACGGAGCTCAGTGCTATGGGGGAAACTTACTTAATTTCCCAGAAAATGCTTCTCCAAACCCTCTCCAAGATAACTATTTCACTCTTCGTGTGTCCACGCCTCTTGCCACTCCCTCTCAACTGGTACCAAGATCTCATACGACAGGAACAAAACAGAAGCAGTCAGACCCAAACTCCTTCACCCACAGCCTTCCAATCTGTGAGCCTGCCTAGCTGGGTACCCACACCCTCTGCCTCCCCCGTTTCAATCAAAGGTCCTGGCTTACGACTCCTTTCTCTCCTGCAATTCTCTCTCAGCTTCCACAATCAGCCTCCCTCATTCTCCGAATCTCCTCCTCCCTGTCTCCTATGGGACGCCAGCAGCAAGGAGTCACACTAGATGCTCCCAGGCTTGAAAAATCCTTCTTGATCTTCATCTCTTCCAACAGATCTTCATATCTATCCCATTAGGCACCTATTCGCTTCCATAGTGAAATGAGAAAGAAGTGCCTATAGTCAGTGCTGGACAGATCTTCAGTCTGTTCCCTTCTCAAGACAGTTCAGTTGGGCTCTGTCCCTCTCACTGCACAGAAACTGCCCTTGGCCAACCAGCGTGGCTCAGTGGTTGAGCGCCAACCTATGAACCAGGAGGTCATGGTTCGATTCTCAGTCAGGGCACATGCCTGGGTTGCAGGCTCCATCCCCAGTAGGGTGCGTGCAGGACACAGTTGATCAATGATTTTCTCTCATCATTGATGTTTCTGCCTCTCCCTCTCCCTTCCTCTCTCTGAAATCAATAAAGTCATATTTTTTTTAAAGAGTATTTCCTGTGGAAACAGGATGCACCTCCCACTGGATTTCTAATAAGAGTCTCAGGGAACAACACCACAGCAGAAATCACGTCCTCCAACAAAGGCTCCACGCGGCTCCAAATGCTCTCCCCTCCCCCAGGCACGCCCCTAAGCATGAGGCCACAGAAAAGTGCAGAGGAAAACAGTGGCTCTGAAACTGAAACCGCATCGCAGAGGGCTAGACCCTGGGGCTCACGGGAGGGCGATGAGAGATGAGAGAAATGCGGAGCAGAGTTGCTCAGGTTGCCCGTGAGCCATAGGAAAAGTAGCGGCGTGGGAACTGCAGACTTACTGTGGTCAGGAAAGAAGAGATGGAGGGAGGGACTCGCCTTATAAGTGGTACAAAATCTAGGCCAGTATATAAACTCCGTGTTCTTTCTTTACAATCTTTTATGTACTACCTCCCTTAACTAAGTCTTTAGATTTCTTTTTCTTACTTGGTTTTAGCAAAAGAAGTCCTGTATTCAGCCTTGAACTTGCAAGGCCTCCTAATGAGACCAAGGACATGTGTGCAGACAAGGGAGGCGGCGGCTGCAGGCGCCAGAGGAGATGGAATTGGGGACAGTAAATCCATTAAGAAAAAAATTGGGCTGC